AAGTTTTTTTCCACTGGAAAAAATGCACATGGAATCTCCCTTTACTTAGCTCCTGAGGCCAATGAAAGCTTGGGGCTTCTCTTGAGCTGAAGATCTGAGGCTGCAAAGCAAAAGGATTGCTGAGAACAATTACAAAGCACCTGAGAAAGGAAGCTGAATACAATCTATGAAAGGAAAATGAATACTACAATCAATTACAAAAGATCCCTCACCAGGAATCCAGATTTGTTTTGGTGATAGTTTATTATGGAGGTCCCCCTGTTTGTTTGAGGGGGGGGGGGACCCCCCTTTACTAATCAGGATCCAACATTAAGTAAGTAAGTAGGTAATTAAGGTAAGGTAAGGTAAGATAAGGTAAGGAAGGTAAGGCTTGGTAAGTATGTACGTATGTAGGAATAATCTATATATACATATGCTGCGCCATATATTACTATATGATGTGTCAACGCAATGGGGCACATTTCGTGGCAGCATCCGAGCAGCTCCCACATCCCTGCAGCCGCCATCATCGCATTCCACAGCTGCACTCAAATATAGCATTGCAGACAAGGCTTGGAAAGTGTTCATCATCGGCACCCAGCCGATGATATAGCCCAGCCAAAATGTGTCTCGCAACAAAAACCTGGGGTGACATAGACATGCTGCATGTATCAAATATCGACAAGTCACGCCAGCATTGAGACTTGTAACAAGAACAAAGATTCTCTCTTCCTAACAGTTTTCCTCAATTCCTGCTATCCAAGCTTCTGCGCCAGGGAAGCAATGGCCAAGATAAGGATCGTCAACACTGAGGTTACTGCATCAGCAGTCCGTGCTTTTTCAACGAACATGCTCATGCAAAACACCTTGGTAGATTCTTGCGATGTGCTCTTACAACCCATGGGCACGGGGCGACAAGAAAGTGCATGTTGTTTCCTTCAGCAAGTGCTACCATGTGCAATCTTTGGGAAGGATCTGGATTTATTCAAACGCATCTTGATATAACTGTTTACACCCATGAAAGGCCTAAGCACACCTTAATATCAAAAAAGCACAGGCTAAGTTCAGGAGCACAAGCTAACATAAGTGCAGCCCCACATGTTCGAGCAAAGGCACTAGCAACAGCGCCTGGACATAAGCGGATGTGAGGATAATGAAGGAGATGAAAAAATTGACGGTGTTGAGTATCGGAACAACTGCCAACCAAAAAATGTAGATCATGCCCACGCAAACAGCTGCAATGATGAAATAGAAAGTGAACCAGCTGGTCCAGAACATATTTTCGCTCATTCCATAAATGTTCTGGGCGATCTTAAGCTTCTTCTCCTTCTCGCCGATGATATCGATCAAAGCTCCATTCATTCCAAGGGTTATCCCAATGAGAGTGTTCAGTGGTATGAACGAGGCCATCAGCCAGCGTTGAACGTACTTGGAACCGGTTTCTTCGCCAACGCCTTTGAAGATGTAATACAAAATGACCTCAGAGTTTGTTCATGCTGCCCCTGACAAATAGTCACAGTACCGCTGATTGAAGCCCAGGTGCTGTGAATCCCATCTGGATCGCCACATTGAAAGGCGCAGTGAAGAAGCGGCCGCGCTTGAATGCCAAAAAAATGTTCTTCCTCCATGCCACCTCAGAAGAACAGCGGTCTAAGGGGTTTTAAGCAGGGTTCTTGAGGGCAAATATTAGGCAATTATGGACAGATCGGAAAATTGATGCAAGAAAAGCTGAGCAATGAAGAACTCAGCTTTTAAAGGTTGAAATACTTGCCCCACCTTGAAGACAGCAGTCCGTGAAGGTGGTTCAGGAGCTTTCGTGCTTGCAAGCGAGTCTTGAACAGCCATGGCACAGATCTGCGCGAGACGAGCTCAGGGAAGCTATCTTGTCTCTGGCTTGAGCAGCTCCATGATTACAATGAACAAGTTTGTTCAAAACCAACAGGACGGCCAGCACCTGCCTTTGAGCTTTTGGCAAGGGGAGTCTTTTCTTGCGTCCGCATCAAGTACTCTATTTTCTAGAGACCGCCTATGCATGAAGCTAAGGGTGCATCTTCATCAACAGAGTTGAATCAAGAGCCCGGCTTGATCCCATCCTCGATGCTTGTGCAAGCATTTCTCCTGCCACGTGTCCTAAAACAAGCTTGATGGAACGGCCCTCGAATTTATGCACCAAGCTCGGAGAATAGCCACACATCTCATCCTAAACAAGTTCCTTGAAGTGGAAAGTCAGAAGGGGACAGGTGCATGCTCTCGTCCACATCGATGGTAGAATCCTCGCCACTTGAAGGCATGTGTCAATGCAAAGCATCCACCGTCCAAGATGCAATGCATTCTATACATATTGATACATATGGCCTGCATCTGTGTACAAGCAGGATTGCAGTTCGCGGTTCACCCACTTTCCAAGTCCTCAGTACCTTCTGCAGTCAGAGCGGTCGTCTGCTCCTGGGCATGCACAAGAATCTGGAGGGATCAAGCTGCAAGTCACTCAGAACAGGTTCAACCAAAAAGGACCATGCACTGGAAACGAAAGTTTGGAACTGCCCAAGTCCATACTTTTGCTGAACACTCCGCGTCCAGCTCCCACTCTGATTTTGAAGAGAATATAGAAGCCAGGTGACTGAGACTTGGCGATTCCAGCAGCTAGGCTTGGCTGGTTCTGAGGCCTTGGGCAAGAAAGAGATGGAGGGCAAATCAAATTGGTAGACAACGTGCAGGATCTGATGAAAGACCCCATTGAACGCCATGCTCGGCACTAACTATGCAAAAGCAATGCATGATTTCATTAAGGAAAGGGTTGTGGCATGGCTACTCAACGCGTACTCACAATTGCAATTAGAGTCTTCATCAAACTCTCAGAGCCGGCCTGGCGACCAAATCCCCCACTGTCTCCGAGGGTGTCCTCTTCCTCAAGTTGGTTCAGTGGCAGAGCACTGGCGAAGCACTTCACCGCGTTTGTGATTCACGCTCTGTGCCCCACTGCCGTCAGTGGGATCATTCAGTCACAACCCTCTGGTAGACCCACAAAATCATGAAATATCATGAATGCATCTGAATGATAGAAGGGAGATGTTCATTGATATCAACAGGCGTGTTTAGTTGAGCGGTTCTCATGCCACCTCGAACTCGATGAACGTATTGCGGACATTGATCCCCTTCACACCTGCTGAGGCAAAACGTGCTCACAGCAAATTGAAGTCCTTGGATCAATGCAAGCGAGTGTGCTGCATGCAGTGACACCAGCCTAGCAGAGTGTTGTACCTCATCAGGTCAGCTGCTCGTGCCATCTCCTGACACATCTGACGCTTCTGACACATCCTCTCACATCTGTTGCTACCAAGTTCACTCTGGCATCACGGCTCCTGCGTATAGATTGCTAGTCCTAGCGCCACATGATGATCGGAAGGGTGCACAACAGCAACACAAATCCACCGTGGATGATTCATGCAGCTGTATCATGTTGCATCCAAGCTTCAAATCTTCAAACGTTCAACTTCGAGAAGCCCTCAAAAAAGTCCCGCAAAGCCTAAGTGAAAGACAAAGAATGGCAAGTTGGCCGTTGGCTGCGCATGGGAAGTTGAACCAGACTTGAGGTAAGTGCCGGCTGGCTGAGCGCTCAACTCTGGAACTGGTGGGTTTTGCAACCCTCGAGCCAAATGGCAAGCACGGCAGGGCGACTTCCGCGCAAGTTCCAAGACTCCGAGACAATGTCGAAGAAGCTCTAGGTCATTTGCGCCCACTTGACTTGAACAAAAAGGCGTGGAGCAGCTTGGAGTGTGAAGGGTGTCGCTTGCTCGCTAGGCCTTAACATCCCCGCCTGCTTTATCTGCTTGCGGCATGTCAGCCTAAACCGCCCATCAACCTTGCAGCAGAAGCGTATATACCCACTTCAGCCTTCTCTAGTTTGACTTCCCATGATGCTGCCTTCCAAACCCCAATCAGAAAGGAAAGGGCAATCTGGCCTATAATTTGAGACTTCAACATACTTCAACGAGCATTCTTATGATCATGCATGATCCCTCCAACCTTGGATGCTTGAGAATCGCTTGACAACTGCCGTCTTTGCACAGCCACCTTGCAAACTCCCACAGCTCCTTCAAAATGCAATCAGTTGCTTGAAAGTTACTTGGCCTCTGCCGCTGGCGCAGAGCGGTTCGACGGTGCCGGCTCCTCGCGAAAGCGTGGCATGACTAACCATTGTTCCACAGCATGTGGCATGACTAACCAGATGCTGTTCCACCCACATCCTTTCTCAATCGTGGCACAGGAAGAGCCCTTCGTTCCTGCAACACCGCTCACATGGATTGTGGCGTGTTCTTTCCCTTTGCCTGGGGCTTTGGCATGTAGTAAAGCGAGCATTTTCAAACCAGTCCACATTTCTTTTCGTCAACTTTAGTCTTTCATCTCTGGACTTGCTTGACTTATGTACATCAGCTCACTCTGAAGACCTGACCAGAACCCAACATCTGCCACTCAAAATGATTGAAAGTGCGCTTGCCACCATCTGCCGATACAGGAAACAAGAGAGACAGTAAACTGTAAGACGGGATAACCTTCCTCTAGAAAGTGGCATGGACAACGTGCAGGCGGTGTCTTTGTCATGATGCAGATCCACCTGAAGTTGTCAATCCGGGTCCTGCCCCAAATTCTTCCTAGGTGTTCGTATCCTCAACAGGGAGAGCCTTGACCTGATCACTGAGCATGAACTGAACAACAACAACAAGAAGAACAACAACAAGAAGAACAACGACAACACAACAATCCAAACATATAGACAGTCTGCCACTCACCGGCGAAGATTCCACTCACGTCTACTTTAGGCACAAGAATTAGGTAGGGCAAAAATAGAAAATAGATCAAACACTTTTTTGACGCTGTGGTGCCAACGGGCGTTTCAAGGATGTCTTGATGGCCCGGAAGTGTGACAGCCTCGAGCACTCTATATGCTCTGAATTGAAGGTTTCGTTTTTGGACGGATGCAATCTGAAGCCAACACGCACCATAGCCCATAGCGAAGAAAACGCATAAGAAAGGTGCTGCAAGCAATTAGGAGCAAGGACGCTACTAGGGGCTCCTGGCCTTACTGGTAGCAAATAGCTAGGAGCAAAGGGCATCGCTACGAACGGAGCAAGGACGCTACTATGATGGCGCAGGATGAGTTCAGATCAAAACAGTGGCCTCCATGGTCGGTTCTCGCGTGGTGGGGTCCGCAGGATCGGCTCCATGCGGGAAGTGCGTGTCACACGTTGTCGCATACGTTCCTGAGATCTTTTGGGTCTAAGAGTAAGGGCTCCTACAGTTCCTTTTAGTAGAACGTTGAGAACTTTTTCGCAACGCCTTGGCATTAGGCCGAGCCCATGACGTCAAAGTCAGCACGCCGGGCTCGTAAGCGTGCCTCCCAGGATATTCCGCAGGGCCAGGGCCACTGGCAACTCCAGCTGCGGTTTCAGTGGGTGATAGTCGCATCATTCAATCACCCTGCCTCGGGCTGCGCCTGTGAGGTTAATCCACGGCGATACCTGAGAGAGTCCAAGGAACAAGGGGGAAGTAGGATCTACGACACGCGGCTACATTGCCACATTGTGCCGAGACTGCAGCACCGCAGCAGCACCCTCGAAGTCATGCCGCCTCGACTTTTCAGAAATGAAGCTGAAGGAATCGAATCCATCCGGATCCACTACTTTCTCTCTGGACGTTTCGCGCCCGCATCCACTATGCTGCAACCCATGCGAAACATGCCGTCTGAGGCTCCAAGCGCTTCTAGGCAATGCGCCCAAGCCTCAAAAAGAAGTGCGTGGCTTGTTCCAATGCCACGGGCCTCGACAGCGATTGGAGCATTTCAATAAATAGAACAGAATGCTCTTGGTAACTGTACGTCAACCTGCACATTAACCTAAAAGACACTTTCAAAAATAAAGCTCGCTTTTCATCAACCTGCACTGCAATGCCGGTATCATGCTAACTTCGAAATGGACAGGTGCTAACACGTGAGGTTTGTAAACAACTGCCACACTTATTTTATAGAATGTTGTCAAGACAGTTTCATTGTTAGGGCCGATATGAACAAATCACATATATGTACTAAATATATATATATATATAATTGTATATAGTATGTCTGTGTGCGTGTGTCCACGACGGCATGTTATGTACCAACAAATGAGAATTGGCTTCTGGGGCCTGCTATTTCGGGCTTGGCCAAAGGCCGCCACAGGTATCAAAGTCGGTCTCTAAATGTCTGCATGACCTCTGCATGACAAACTTGAGGCCTCCAAGCGCTCAAAAATCTCTGCTGGCCGCGACTCCTTGTCCGCAAGCATGACCTGTTGCAACTGCGATGGAGGCATTGAGAGAAAGAGCTCACGAACTAAAGGCACCAAGCCCGGTCAAATATGGTGCTTGACAATGTCGATATGATTACGTTACTCGCTTTCTGTCCTTGCTCCTGTAAACCTTGAAGACTTTGGTTGCCAAGCACGGCACCCATAAGCGAAGCTGACGAATGTCCTCGCGAGGACAGTTGCGCGAATCACATACAATGCAAAACCACAGGGCTACCGTAACAAGAAGCTACTAGGGGTTCCTGGCATCGCTACTAGTAACAAGAAGCTACTAGGAGCAAAGGGCATCGAACGGAGCATGGACGCTGCAATTGCATTCTTCCTGGGCATGTTGCTTGTCCGCTGCCAAACCTCGGTCACTTCCCGCACTCCCCTCAAACACCTGGACTGTACCAACTGAGGTGTTGTATTGTTCCCACTGGTTCCAACGTCAGTTATTTCTAGGCAGGTGAGACAAATGCGATGGTCACTTTGATCATCTACTCCAAACAGCAAGGCAGAGAAGTATTACGAAGTCTTGCGGGCCGACATGTTTCCTGCTCGAAAGACAAATGCTGAGGGCCTCTCTGTGGCAAGCACGGTGCAAAATAGTAAGCTGTTCCTTTCCAGGTAGCTTCTTGGCCCAAAGGGCGAAGTCAGTCCAAACCTAGACGGTGTCGGCGGGAATTGTAGTTATACTATATAAGTAGTGCAGTACATGATGCACCAATGTCAATGCTGCTTATATATCCGTTCTTCGTTTCCAAAATATATAGTTTGCTCAAGCGTCAAGAGAAGCAGTCACCCAAGAAACAAGACCTGCACCACATCAGCGTCACCACTTGCTGCTCGGTTTAACGCAGCTTCAAAGTCGCCAGTACTTTTGGGCCTGAAAAAGGAAGGGAATTCATATGAGCGTTTCTGAAAACCTTGATGAAATCCCATGTCGTATCATTGGGCTTACGCTTGTGCTTACGCTGCCTTACGCGACTCACATGTTTGCTTACGCGGTACACTTGGAGCAAGAAGGGCTTACGCAGACCTTACGCGACGCCTGTTTTGCACAAAATGCAGCTGACACCACAACACGAGCTTACGCGCTGCATACTTTGTACAATATTGACATTTACTACACCTAATCTTCAGATATGGATGCTGAAGAAGCACTTGAGGATGAGGACGAAGAAGAAGGCTCGAAGGCAGAAGCAACCAAGCAGCAGCAGCAGTAGCAGCAGCAGACTAGCAGCAGACCTGCAGCAGCAGCAGCAGCAGGAAGTGGAGAAGTGGAAGTGGAAGGGCGATGCGCGCAAACCACATTGTATATAGGTCTTCAACCACACGCTGCCGCTGACGCAACGGTTTCGGAGAAGGAGGCATGTGGGCTACTGGTGGAACAGGACATCGGAGCCTACGCGGAGCTTACGCGGAGCTTACGCGGAGCTTACGCGCCGGAACTCACAAAAATCACCTGGAGTTTCTCATGTCTGACATGGAGGTTTGACTGTTCAGCTGTGGTGTTTGGACTGTGTGTGTGTTCAGCAATTCGAGCTTGGATTGTGTATGTATGTGTGGAGTTGGACTGTTCCTTAGTCCTAGCACTTCTGAGAGGAGTTGCTCATGTATTTATCATGTATTTATTCAAAGCTTACGCATGGCTTACGCAAAAGGTTTCCTTACAAAAAGCTTACGCAACCTTACGCACGTGCAGGTTTTGCTTACGCACAACTTCGATATGACAACACACTGATATGGTTCGGACATGTTCGGACATCTTCGGAATATCATAGACTGCCATGGTCCCGCATTGCACAAGAACTTCCTGAGTGCGGTACTGTGGCACTGGGCCATTTTTGGCAAATGCGCCTTGGGACATTGGAGCAAGCGAAGCTTGCATTCACCTCTAAGCAATCACATCATATTCACATCATCAGAATCAAAAGGCCTCCTGGCCTTACTACTGGGAGCAAGAAGCTACGTAGGAGCAAGAACAGCAAGAAGCTACTAGGGGCTGCTGAGCATGAAAATTGGAAGGAACTCAGAGCTCGCACCTCCAGGAAGGGCTTCCTTCAACAACTTGGGCCTGAAGCTCTCACACCCCTGCCTGGCCCTACCTTGTCAAAAGCCCGGCTTTGTCTCATAGCGACCGAATTCACTCTACGCTCTTTTTGGCAAAGCACGTGGAATCTGGCTGAGAAAATCTTGCCGCATACAAGGAAAGATGCGATGAAAATGACGAAGACCTTCGTCTATGTCATGTACCAGGACGGGAAACGGTGCCAGAGGAGGACACATGATTAGAGCAACTCCTACAGGGGAAACCAGGCTTGTGCAGCTGGGATTCCGCTATAAAACTCGGTACTTGCAATGATGGCACATGACAGCATGGCCAAGCGGCCATTCACAAGCTCACCCAAGCGCGTTTGCGGCGTGTACTGGCCAAGCTTCAGCGGGTCACCAAAGTCTCCAATTTCCCTTGTAGGCTCTTGTCTGAATTGGTTGCGCTCGAATTGGCCGCAAAAAATGAAAATGAGAAGTGAGATCCTTTGCCATGACTCATTGCCC